TCAGAGATTTCTATTCGTTGTGGAGATATGCCAAACGGAAATATTTAGGGGCCACTCCTACAAGTCCTTAATGGGGTCGTTTTACAAAAATTCAAAGTATGCATATTATTAAGAACATTTTAATGGCCATCTTTTGTTCAATATTGCTTATCAAAATATTCCCCATTTTCGAGATATAAAGCGTTAAAGATTTGACATTCTGGCCCCTTGTGACCCCTTATTACGCAACATATGATCAAAATTGTATCATATATTGTTGCAGATCGTTAAGATAAACACATTTGCTTCAGTAATGTATAACAAAATATTGTTCATTAGAGAGTTAAAGATAAAAGACGTTTGGTCCTTCTTAGCCCTTAATTTGAGGGGTCAGCCCCTTTTTCTTGATATCAAATGAAAGGTCTTGTGATTTTGAAGATTTTTTGTTCAACACTTATTCAGAGATTTCTACTCGTTGTGGAGATATGCTAAATTGAAATATGTAGTGGCCACTCTTACGAGTCCTTAATGGGGCCGTTTTACAAAAATTCTAAGTATGCATATTGTTTAGAACATTATTCTGGTCATCTTTTGTTCAATATTGCTTATCAAAATATTCCCCATTTTCGAGATATAAAGCGTCAAAGATTTGACATTCTGCCCCCTTGTGACCCCTTATTACGCAACATATGATCAAAATTGTATCATATATTGTTGCAAATCGTTAAGATAAACACTTTTGCTTTAGTAATGTATAACAAAATATTGTTCATTAGAGAGTTAAAGATAAAAGACGTTTGGTCCTTCTTAGCCCTTAATTTGAGGGGTCAGCCCCTTTTTCTTGATATCAAACGAAAGGTCTTGTGATTTTGAAGATTTTTTGTTCAACACTTATTCAGAGATTTCTACTCGTTGTGGAGATATGCTAAATTGAAATATTTAGGGGCCACTCTTACGAGTCCTTAATGGGGCCGTTTTACAAAAATTCTAAGTATACATATTGTTTAGAACATTATTCTGGTCATCTTTTGTTCAATATTGCTTATCAAAATATTCCCCCTTTTCGAGAAATAAAGCGTCAAAGATTTGACATTCTGCCCCCTTGTGACCCCTTATTACGCAACATATGATCAAAATTGTATCATATATTGTTGGAAATCGTTAAGATAAACACTTTTGCTTTAGTAATGTATAACAAAATATTGTTCATTAGAGAGTTATAGATAAAAGACGTTTGGTCCCTCTGAGCCCCTAATTTGAGGGGTCAGCCCCTTTTTCTTGATATCAAATGAAAGGTCTTGTGATTTTGAAGATTTTTTGTTCAACACTTATTCAGAGATTTCTACTCGTTGTGGAGATATGCTAAATTGAAATATTTAGGGGCCACTCTTACAAGTCCTTAATGGGGCCGTTTTACAAAAATTCAAAGTATGCATATTGTTTAGAACATTATTCTGGTCATCTTTTGTTCAATATTGCTTATCAAAATATCCCCCCTTTTCGAGATATAAAGCATCAAAGATTTGATATTCTGGCCCTTCGTGACCCCTAATTACGCAAGATATGCTTAAAAGTTTATAATATATGGTTCCAAATGATCTAAAATTAAATAATATCGAAAATTCGACCAGAAAAAATGATAAAACTTTTCGGTCATATGGGGGATCGAACCCGGGTCGCCCGCGTGACAATCCAACGCGCTAACCATTTAGCCATTGGGATCGCCGCTTCGCGTTTTCAAATGCAAATATCTCGAGATTGGCTTTTTCGATTTTCAAACAAATTACATATTTCGCTTCTGCAAAAGGGTCTCCATTCATATCAAAAACAAAAATATTAAAAAAGAAAAGTTGAAAAATTGCGTTTTTTAAATTCGCTTCCGGTATCGACCGGAAGTACTGACGACGCACGAAAAGGCGATTCTGCAACGCTATAAATCATGAACTATCATCTCCAATTAATCTTCTGTTCATATCTTAAGAAGTTTTCGCTACTAAATCAAGACAAAATTGCATTTTAAAATCAGAAAATTCCCTATATCTCACGACCAGAAGTGACGTCATAAAAACGCTTAAAAACCTATCAAGATCGATTGATTAGCTATTACATATGAAAATTTCATGAAAATCGGCCGAGCCGTTTCTGAGAAATCGCGTGCACAAAATCGGTTGGAAGAATAATAATAATAATAATAATAACTAGAAACGAAACTCGTTGCGAGCAACGAGAGGTCTTCCGTCCGATTCTGAAAATAACCCGTTAAATCAAACTGAAAAAGTGATTTTAAAAAAATCGGACATAAAAGGGATTGAACGTGGGTGGCCGGCGTGAAAACTTGATACCAATGACACCTTCGGAAACCCGCTTTAAATTTAAAATGCGATATCGCGAGATTGCTTTTTTGATTCTAACATAAATTACATTTTTTTTTAATTCAGTGTGGAATTATAAAATGAGAGCTAGCTTGCAAAACTTTGCCCAAGAATATCACATCGAAATTTGTTACTTGATTTTAAGAGTATTTTTTAGGAGAGATAATCTATCACTGATGAACAAATAATACTGTTTACTTTCTTTTATTCGATATGTATTGAACTTTCTATTCCATGCAACTCCATATACAGGCATGCCAATGCTATCTATTACTGCACTTCTGTTGTCATTTGTCTACTAAATAAGTCGGGTCACGATACATTTTTTCGCACCAAACATCATGAGTAGTTTTTAAAGCTATTCCTTTGAAATGTTTGATCTATTGAATGGATGTGATAGCTTCAATAAAATTTAGAAATATATGTTCTTAACACCGGAATTTCGAGCTTTAGAAAGTATATTTATCACATTGTACAAATATAATATCGTATACAGCCAAGTAACATTAAAGCAGTGAATTCGGTAAAAATTTTCCACGAATTTTGTATCCTGTTTACCCCCTCTTTCGATTAGTTACAGATTCATGAAAAGACTTGAATGTTTCGCTGAAAAAAGTCTTCAATAACTTGCATTTATTACAAAAATATTCAGACAGAAGCAATTCTAATAGACTTTTGAGGAAACCTCGGATTAAAACTATAATCTGAAACAGAAATGCAACGTAATTGCGACGTGACAATCCAATGAATCCTTTACATGTCATTGATCTTTATGGTAGAAGTTTCTTTCATCCAAACGCTCGGCTGACCTTCTAGACCCGACTTGCCTAATGGCGGAGTTTACTGAGACAGCCGCCATCTTGGACCCACTTCAGATTTTCAAATGCGAATATCAAGTGTGTGGATTGATCAATTCTAAAATAAATTATATATTAGGCCTTTCCAGTAGGGTCTCCTTTGATGTTAATTATATCAAAGAAAAATATTGAAAAACAGAAAAGTTGAAAAAATGCATATTTTTAATTCGCTTCCTGTAGCGACCGGAAGTACTGACGACGCAAACGAAGTCAAAATTGCACATCTATAACTCATGGTCTATCATCTCTAACAAGTCTCCAGTTAATATCTTGAGCCGTTTTCGAGAACATTCGAAGACAAAATTGCATTTTAAAATCAGGAAATTGCCAATAACTTGGCACTGGAACTGAATATTCCAAAGAACGGAATTTTATATAAAATTCATATAATGACCTATAATTCCTGAAAATTTCATTGAAATCTACCGAATAGTTAACAAGAAATCGCCTGCACAAAATTTGGTCAGAAGAAAAAAGAATAATAATGATAAGAAACAATAGAATCACTAGAAGGTCTTCCGTGAAGACGGAAGACCTTAATAATAGAGAAAAAGAAACCGAACGAAAACAATAAGGTCTTCCGTTGGAAACGGAAGACCTTAATAATAATAACTAGATGCGATCTCGTTGCGAGCAACGAGTAGGTCTTCCGTCCGAATTTTCGATAAGATGAGATATGACTTTGACTATGATCTTTGATAAAACATCATGGAATCATGCCTTTTCTCTTTTGATTAAATCCTTTTGATTTAGATAATATCATCAATGCGTACTTAATTTGCACATTAATTCTTTTCTTTTTTCTACTTTGAGAAACAACCAAAACCAATTAAAGAAGACTTGTAAGGAGACCTTGGATTATGAATGTAGTTTGACACAGAATTGCAACGAACCTACGACATGACAATCCAAGTATCCCTACACATTTCACTGCTCCTTATGATACTTTCGTTCAAGCAAACGCTCGGCTGCCTCTGTTAACCGCTATTGGGAAATGTCGGAATTGACAGAGACCGCCGCCATTTTGTTCCCGCTTCAGATTTTTGAATGTTAATATCTCGAGTTTGAATTTATAAATTTACAAACGAATTATATATTCAGCCTAATAAGAAATGTTTCTATCAACTATACTAATATAATTTGAAAATATTGAAAAACAAAAAAGTTAAAGACGAGAGACTTTTGGCCCCTCTATGCCCCTAATTTGAAGGACTAACCCCGTTTACTTGATATCAAATAAAAGGTCTTACTATATTGTACATTTTTTATTATATATGTCTTAACAAAATATTAACAGGTAAAAAGATATAAAAGAAAACGTGTCAATTTTTGCGAGATAAGTATGAGGCTATTTTTCGAGCCCAGGCGAGCGTCGATGCCTTCTTCCCTGGAAAGCTCTATATGCAAAATGTCACATCTACTATCCTTCCTCTACCTTCGCTGAAAATCTCAAGTCGATATCTTAAGTCGTTTAGGAGGAGATCTCAGGACAAGCTGACCCTCTAAAAATCAGTAAATCGTCCATATCTCACGACCGGAAGTGACGACGTACTTAGAAAAAATTTCCGACAAGGTTCAGATAAATATCTATCAGATCTGAAAATTTGGTGAGAATCGGTCCAGCCGTTTCTGAGAAATCGCGTGCACAAAATCGGTAAGAAAAATAATAATAATAATAATAAGAATAGAGAAAAAGAAACCGAACGAAAACAATAAGGTCTTCCGTTGGAGACGGAAGACCTTAATAAGAAACCGAGTAAAAACAATATGTTCCCCAACTTCGTTTGGGGAACATAATAAGAGGACTGTAACACCAAAAAAGATACAGAAGCCATCCTCGTCCTCATCAACACCAAACAAATGTAAATAATAAGTTCTCTAATATTACACCGCATTCAAACAAATATTCATGTTTTTAGCTGTTAAGCTTTTGACAACAAATACCTAAAGCTACTTTATCTGATTTCACCATATTTTATCTGAATATATTAGTCCTTAATTAGATTCAAGTTGCATGCAGAAGGATCACCATTTATCCAGGTCTTATATTTATATTATTTTTTCCTTCATAGTGCCGACACCAACTTCTCATCAAAATAAGAGGACTGTAACACCAAAAAAGATACAGAAGCCATCTTCGTCCTCAGCAGCACCAAACAAAGGTTAAAATAATAAGTTCTCTAATATTACATCGCATTCAAACAAAAATTCATGTTTTTAGCTGTTGAGCTTTTGACAACAAAACCAAAAGCTACTTTATCTGATCTCCCCATCATACCGTATAGCGGGTTATTTTAGCGAGGTGCTAATTTTGGCTTATTTTGGCGTTTTGATGGTATCCCGCTAAAATTTTAATTGCTAAATAATCAGTACTCTTCTTCATGTTTATATGCAAAGAGCAGAAGCCCTGTTGCAACTAAAATAAATTAAGCCAAAATTATTGGCATACCTTTGAGCATGCAAACCTCCAAATATTACACCTGCCAAGAAAATCCGCTATATGGTATAGTATTACATTTATATTTAGTTCTTTATCACATTCAAGTTGCATGCAATCACCATTTATCCAGGTCTTATATTTGAACCATTTTTTTCTTCATAGCGCTGACACCAACTTCTCATCAAAAGAAAAGGACTGTAACACCAAAAAAGATGGAGAAACCATCCTCGCCCTCATCAAAAGCAAATTCAACAACCAGTAGTAGTAGTTCAGTAACCCCACAGGGAAGTCCAAGTCGCTCGGGTCCCTCAACACAATCAAGCCCTGGTGTTGTCAGTTTTGACAGTTTACTATCATCTGGTATGAAAAATGAGTGTTTTAAATTATTTTCAGTTTGTGGCTTTTTGTTTTGAATATTTTGTACTGATCAGAAAAAATCTCCGACATGAGTTCTGGAGAGTGGAATTTTAGAATATATATATGGCAATCTGAAACTTAGAATCATTTTTTTTTGAACATAGATGAGAATAATGACTCTGAGGATTTCACAAGTTTTCAGAGAGACATGGAACAGTCAATGAAAAAGAGCAGGTAATGTATATTTTTGAGTCTACTGGCATCCATTTACACTATAAATAACTTTAAATTCTTCTTTTGATAAATCCTCTTCTATATGTTTTGAATTTTAATTATTTCCCAACTTATGTTATTTTTTTTAGGGAGAAGAGGAATTGGACAGATTATCAAACGAGGTTGAAAGTATGAAGAAAGAAGTAAAGAAATTGAAAAAAAGAGTGAAGGAATTGGAAAAAACTACTACCAGTACTAATGAAACAGATCAGTTGAGTGAACAAGATTTGACAAAAAGACAATTGAGAAATAACATACAAGGTATGTTCAACGCCTCTCAAGCGGTAAGTTTTCTGTTGAAGCACCTATTTACAGCCGATGAAATAAAGAATTCCTCCTTGTCTGGGAAGAAAACCGTGAAGTGTGGGGAGGGAGGTCCTAGACCTCCACTCGATCAAGACAAACTCCGAATCATGGAGGAAATCATCTACGAAAAATTTCCATCTTTTTCGCGAAAAGATCTGCGAGAAAAAGTACAAAATATTCAAAAGGTGGAAAGAAGGAGAAAAAATGCGATTGATGAGAATTAAGGACATTCAAATTTGAACAATTGTGCAAGATTTTTAATTGATACATTTTCCTAGGTAAGGATAAGGGTTTAGTTGATTATTCTGAATTTGAAAGCACATGCAGGTACACTAACAAATGTACATTGTGAAAATTTAGGGACAGTAACTATACAGACTGAGATATGACTGGGTGAGCAATTCAATAATTATTTCAATTTAGAAATCATTCCAGGTATCTTTAACACCTTGTATATTAATAATTTACGTTGTTATAAAGTAAATAAATATTTTACATTGTATCAGATTTCATTTTTAATAGACCTTAATTCATGAAGTTCAAGAACATTCTTGAATGTTCATGTACTACAAATGTAGTCGCTCTTTGAAATTCCCAAATACATTCATGAACAATATTCTTGAATATTCTTGAATTTGGTTTTCATGAATAAAATTCATGAAATCATGAGTGTCCAATTTCAACTTCATAGGATCTTCATGAACAATTCATGAATATAATTCATGAACTATTCTTAGAAGTTCAAGAATGTAATTCATGAACTTTTCTTAAAAGTTCATGAATTATTCATAATAATTTCACAGGCAATTATAAAATCCAAGTTTGTTCATGAACAACCAACTATTCATGAATATTCTTGAACTTGGTTTTCATGAATAAAATCCATGAAATCATGAAGGTCCAATTTTAACTTCATGGGATCCTCATGAACAATTCATGAGCTGATTCAAGAATATAATTCTTGAACGTTTCTTCAAAGTTCAAGAATTATTCTTGATCATTTCGCAGGGGTAGGACGTACAGGCATGACAAGCCTTAGAATTATTATAATGGAATACATTGTATCTATGACAAAACTAAAAATAATTAAACAATTAAAAAAGACAGAAACACAAAGATCTCTGGCTTTTCTTCAATTTAATCAATCTTTCTTCAATGTAAATTAAAATATAGGCCTTTTTATATCATAAATGACTGTTTTTTAAATGAAATAGAAATTCAAAATTATTCATATTTTATGATTGGTCAGAACGACAAAATTATTCTGATTCAACACAGAGGTAATTTAATGTTGATATTAAAAGAATGCTTGAGTTCCTCCTTGATTACTTTTATTCTTTAGGTATTGATTGTGTTATTTTTAAGTCGATATGTTTTATATCATGAATAAGAAAATTCCCAAGAAAACATTAATTTTGC